ATTACAGGCATGAGCCACCAGTCCTGGCCTTCATCATATGTTTTTAGGCTGTGGATAACATTGTAGCCTCCAAGACAACTGAGTAGGAAAAAAACTGGGGTTGGAGTCCTGTTTATTTGGTTTTGCTTTTAATTTGCATTTATGGCTGTTTTTTTTTTTTTCCTTGGATTTGGCTTATACGTATAATTTGTAAGTCAATTGTTGTGTTTTTAGATTCTTTTATTTTTTTTTTCTGAGATAGTGTCTCACTCTGTCACTCAGGCTGGAGTGCAGTGGCATGGTGTCAGCTCACTGCAACCTCCGCCTCCCAGGTTCAAGCAATTCTCCTACCTCAGCCTCCCCAGTAGCTGGAATTACAGGCACCCACCACTACTCCCAGCTAATTTTTCTATTTTTAGTAGAGATGGGGTTTAACCATGTTGGCCAGGCTGGTCTCAAATTCCTGACCTTGTAATCCACCCACCTTGATCTCCCAAAGAGCTAGGATTACAAGTGTAAGCCACTGTGCTCGGCCGTGTTTTAGTTTCTAACGGAAGCCTTGTGTTTGGTTCTAGGAACAGCCACTTTGTTTCCTATGCATTTCTGTTCATCAATTTGCTCTATGTAAACTTCCTAAGCTACCTTTGTCGGACCTGCAAAAATTCAGAGATGACACCAGCCATTTAAAATTGGATTGGTTTTGCTTAGCACTGGTGATCTCCAGAGCTACAAAAGCTTTAAGCTTCCTGGCAAAATAAATAAATAATTTAGATAGATAGATAGATAGATAGATAGATAAAAGGCTTAAAGTCCCTAGCAGAAAAAGTACATTATTGATTTTGTTATCTGGAAAAACAAGTGAGAGAAGAATGTTTAAATGGTGTTTCTTTTCAGGGAAATTTAATTCCATTAATAATTTAAGTTGGTTTCAGATCCTTTTCTTTAGACAATGAAGAAAAACTGTGATACAGGTACAAAGTTTTAATATTCAGCCAAAATTAACCTTGCCCTTAATAAATTTATATTGACTAGGATTTCTGTAAAAGTGCTTTAGTTGTGTTCACCATTATTAAAACTAAGTGACATTCTCTTGGATTAAGTACTCTGTCATCAGGCTGGAGTTGCAGTGGCTCAATCTTGGCTCACTGCAACCTCTGCCTCCCAGGTAAAAGCGATTCTCTTGCCTCAGCCTCCCAAGTAGCTGCAATTACAGGCACCTGCCACCACACTTAGCTAAGTTTTATATTTTAATAGAGCTGGGGTTTTACCATATTGGCCAGGCTGGTGTTGAACTCCTGACCTCAGGTGATCTACTTGCCTTGGCCTCCCAAAGTGCTGGATTGCACGTGTGAGACACTGCACCCAGCCAACTTTCTAGTGATTTTTTTATTCCAATCCTTTTATTACATTTAAGCCTTCATGCATGTACTTGAAAATAAAATATGTACAAGTGTTGCCTGAGTTTGAAGATTGTTGCAGTGAAATTTACCTAATCAGTTGTCAGTACTGTGTCCAGATTAACAATCTTGGAAAGATGTGATGATGCTGTTTTGAAACAGTTAAGATTATTCTGTGCTTGTTCTTACTCTGTCCCTGTTTTGTTGTACAGTATTTAAGTGAATGGAGATTATTTATCCTTATGCTGAATTTCCAAAACTGATGTATGCATTTACCTTATTTATTTATTTATTTATTTTTTTAAAGACAGAGTCTTGCTCTCTCACCCAGACTGGAGTATAGTGGCATGATCTCAGCTCACTGCAACCTCTGCCGCCCAGGTTCAAGATGTTCTCCTGCCTCAGCCCCTCAAGTAGCTGGGATTATGGGCATCAGCCACCACACCCAGCTAATGTTCATATTTTTAGTAGAAAGAGAGTTTCACCATGTTGGTCAGGCTGATCTCAAAGCACTGACCTCAGGTGATCCACCTACCTTGGCCTCCCAAAGTATAATCCCAAAGTAGAATTACAGGCATGAGCCACCATGCCCAGCTGCATTTACCATTTCTTTTTAAATAATGGAGAGAAAAGTTAGTTGTCTTACTTTGATAAGTTTGACATAAAACCTCTCACATTTTTTATGCATTGGGGCACAGTTCTGTCACTAGATTGCTAGTGATTAGACACATGCAGTAAGTAACTTAATGGTTTGAAGTGCTGCAGGCAGTAACTACTGGACGTGGTTAATTTGTGACATGTTAGAGAGAATGCCAGGACTTCCTGCAGTATAAATATCCTAAGCCAGGTGCGGTGGCTCATGCCTGTAATCCCAGCACTTTGGTAGGCTGAAGTGGACAGATCACGAGGTCAGGAGATTGAGACCATCCTGGTCAACATGGTGAAACTCCCATTTCTACGAAAAATACAAATATTAGCCTGGCATGGTGGCACATGCCTGTTGTCCCAGCTACTGGGGAGGCTAAGACAGGAGAATCGCTTGAACCTGGGAGGCAGAGGTTGCAGTGAGCCAAGATTGTGTCACTGCACTCCAGCCTGGCAATAGAGCAAGACTCCATCTCAAAAAAAGAAAAATTCTATTAACTAATCGTTGTGCTGTCAAGTTAAAGAACTTGGACTCCTGGTCTGAAAAGGCACCCACTCTTGCTTAATCTTGAATGCTGGCACCTGTCAAAGCCTCGTCTTCAGACACAGGAGAAGGTGACAACCAAAATGAAGTGGCTTCTTGAGACACAGGACCAGGAATGAAAACTATTCAATCCCTTTAAGGCCAGGGACTATTTTGGAAGAGACAGGCATGTGAGATTGTAAGGACCAATTTTAAGGGATGAAATGAATTCAGAGTTTTTCTACAAATTAAGCATTAAAATCAAAACACACTGATGTGAGGCCAGCATCTGGGCCCCTGTGGCACAATAACAGGGTTTCCTTGGAAAATTGATGTGCTTTTTAATAGAAAATTGTAAAACAGTATAGAAGGTTTATGAAAATCTTACATTATGATCAAACGAATTAAAATCAGATAGATGAGTTGATAAGAGTTTATTGAAATGAATGTGAACATTAATAGTACACTATAAAGGGTAAAAAATTTTTTTCTTTAAACGAAATATTTGTGTAGTATTAACAACAGATGGTCTTGCTATGATTCATCTTTGGTGGAAGTGGGGGATGGAGAGAGGAAGATTGTGTTTCGGAAGAAAACTGGAGGATTAGATTCACCTCTGATTCCTGGGTGGCTACGAGGTCATGCGTGCCCACAATGCCTCTCCTCAGCGTGAAGCAGCCAGAAAAATCCAAGCCCAGGTTCCCCAGGATTGAGGAATTAATACATAAAAAGGAGGGACTGAAACCGGCCCAATTGTCTCATAGAATCGATCTTGGTTTCTTTGAAAAATCATAGAAATTGACCCTTTCAGTGTTAAAACTTGAGAAAGTTACATTTGTCCTCTCTAAGTTCCTTTCTCAGAAAATGTGGGAAACAGATACTTGGTGCCACAAAGAAAAATTAGCACTGAGACAAAGGATGTCTCAGCAAAGCAGTTTTTACTTTTTTACTTCCTGCCTTGTAGAAAGGGTACTCTTGCTAGCCATCTTGCTATGAGAGTACAATGAACAAAGGAAAAGCAGACATACTTATTCCTTATGCATTTGGGGTTGTCCTTACTGCTGTGTCTGATCTCTATTGGCTGGAGCCAGATCTCACAATCTAAACTAAAACCTACTTGACTAACAACTTAAAACTTTTCTAAACAGGTAAAAGCAATGGTGAGCTGGGACATGCCTGTAAGCACGTCCAGCACAGAATCTTGATTGAAGCACAAGGACATAGAATGTACTATGTGCCTCTAAGCACGGCATGTCTAACAGCCACATAGGATAGTGCTTAACAAAGAGTTACTAGCATACTTATAATTTATTCTTTAATAAGAAAGGAAACTTTAAAGAGGAATTTTTCTGCTTCTCACAGAAAACCCACCATCAAGCCTCACAGACAGTATCAAGGAACTGAAACTTCCTGAAACCATTCCATCTGGACAGTGAGATGCCAGACCCTCACCCACCATGATTGCCTAACCAACCACGTGCTTCCTGTTGACAAAGTTCTCTTCTTTAACCCTCTCTGCTCTTTTCCCACACATGGTTACATTTCTTGTCACTCTCTGATTCCTGTATTCCTACACATGGTTCCATTTCTTCCCTGCTATGTAAACTCCTAAATTTCCCTCGCAATACTCATTGCCTCAGTGTTTGGCCTTCTGTGTTTCAAGCAGCAGGACCTAGACCCATCCTCAAGTGTTTCAGTAACAATAACAGTTTACCTAGGGTCAATTTTCATGCCTGTGGCTACATGGGGTGCTCAGAAACCTCACAAGAACTCCTGACATAAACTACACAACAGGAAATTCATCAGAATTGCCACGACTTTTCGTTATTCCATCATCTAAAGATGCTTCAAGCCCAACATCTAGAAATCTCAGCTGAGAGTCCTCTGGATTCAAAAGCTGGGCTTATATAATTTGCTCCAACAACTAACCTTTACTTTTCTTTCGTCTCCATAGAAATGCCTCTTATTTAATACTGATTGTCCACACCATATAGAGGCCTAACCTAGATGAGAGACCACCTATAACATCACCTCCTAAAATGAGATACAACTGGACAAAACTATTCTCAGACCAAGATACTTAATAAGAAATGGGATGCCTGTTATCCTAGCACTTTGGGAGGCTGAGGCGGGTAGATTGCCTGAGTTCAGGAGTTTGAGACCAGCCTGGCCAACACAGTGAAACCCTGTCTCTACTAACATACAAAAAAATTAGCTGGGCATGGCAGCACATGCCTGTAATCCCAGCTACCCGGGAGGGTGAGACAAGAGAATCAATTGAACATGGGAGCTGGAGGTTTTGCTGTTAGCTGAGATGGCACCATTGTACTCCAGCCTGGGTGACAGAGTGAGACTCTGTCTAAAAAAAAAAAAAAATGATATGGGACAATATAGTTAGACTGTAGTTAGACTCATGTCTTGCTTGTTCCAATTTATGTTCCTGTTTTCTTTTACAGATCTCTTGCCACTCAGTATTCCATGGAAGAAGGCAAAGGGGAGCCAGCACATCACATGGTGAGAGGGAGCAAGAGAGAGGTGAGAGGTCCCAGACTCCTTGAAGCAACCAGCTCTCAAGTGAACTCATAGATGAAGAACTCATTCACTGCTGTGGGGAGGGCAGTAAGCCATTCATGAGGGTTCTTCCCCCATGATCTGAACACCTTCACCAGGCTCGTCTCCAACATTGGAGATCATATTTCAATATGAAACTTGGAGGGGACACATTCCAAATTGTGTCAGGCAATATGGCTGCATAGAATATTAGCCTCTATTTTGCCAGGTGGTGCAAAGCACAACCCACACCCATCAGGTCCATAAGCAAATGGACAGAAATGTCTCAACACATAGTCTCAGTTTCTGGCTTAGGAGTTATTGCTGCTTCCAACACTTGTAGTCCCGGTCCTGTGGCCACTGCACCAGGTGGCAGGTGGGAGGAGAGGAGAATTGAGGTAACACGGTGAAGACAAAAATGGCAGTCATTGGCCAGGCGCGGTGGCTCACATAGGTAATAACAGCACTTATGGGAGTCCAAGGCAGGTAGATCACCCGAGGTCAGTAGTTCAAGACTAGCCTGACCAACACAGTGAAACCCTGTCTCTGCTAAAAATACAAAAGTGAGCTGGGCATGGTGGCGGGGGCCTGTAGTCCCAGCTACTTGGGATGCTGAGGCAGGAGAATCACTTGAACTCAGGAGGCAGATGTTGCAGTGAGCTGAGATCGTGCCACTGCACTCCAGCCTGGGTAACAGAGTGAGACTGTCTCAGAAAAAAACCAACAACACCATCACCAAAATGACAGTCATTATACTGGCATCCTCCCCACCCCCTCATCCCCAGATCCACTGGAAAATGACAGAAAGGCCAGCAGGGACACTCCTTCAGCCCCACTCGTGTGGAGTGGGGCACACACCGGTGAAGGAGTGGAAGCCAGCCCTTCATGCCTTGATTTCCCCCTATTTTAGATTTGTTTCAGTTGACTGTTCTGCTTCCTCATCAAATTATCACTCTAAGAAGGATACCTCTCAGCCCATTGCTAAACATTCTGCGCTTGCTGTAGGGCGTGCTTCTTGGTCTATGGAAGTGTGACGTGGTGGTCCAAACTAGAATAATCCCATTTTTCTATTAATAGTTCTTTTCTATTAATAACACTCTGGGGCCAGGTGCAGTGGCTCACATCTGTAATCCTAACACATTTGGAGGCCGAGGTGGGTGGATTCTTGGAGCTCAGGAGTTCGAGACCAGCCTGGGCAACTTGATGAATCCCACCTAGCCTATTTGGCTTTGCCTTCTTCCATCAGAGGGGTGGCCTTCTAAAGAGGATGTTGTCCATTCACTGAGGAACGACTGTCTACAAACTCAGTAGCTCTTGGTCAGTCAGTAAAGAGCTGTTTATGGGGCACTGTCCAAGTGACTGTAGAATCCAGCAGCTCATTCCCCAGTTCCAGAGTTAGTCGGAGGGAAAAAGAGGCTCCCTGCTCATGAGTGTCTCCTCCTTGCCTTCCTCAGACAAGAAACCATTTCCATTTTATAACAGAACTCTTTTGGGACTGCCCTCCCCGTTAGAGCATTTCCAAGATCACTGAAGACATCATGTGTATTTCAGGTTTCAAGATTATTTTGTCCCTCACTCACAGGGGAGCCTCAGTTAGTGTTCTGCTGCAAGCTAGGATGTGCCTCTCAAATGCAAACCTGAGTCTACAGCCCCAGGTCCTGGGAGGTGCTCACAGCCTTTTGCCATTAGCCCCGGTCAGCGCTCCAGGTGGGGCACAGAAAATGTGTTGTTAGCTGCCCTCCCGTTTCTAGTCTACACTGTGTGCTCCACCCTCCAGGGCCAAGGGGCCTGAGCTGCTCTGAAGACCTTCCTGCGGGCCCTGGTGGCTCTGGTTAATGCTGTCAGTCTTCCTGAAGCCCTTGTCCTCTCACCCCCTGCCTGGATCCATACCAGCACACATTCCTGACCACACACATTCCTCAGTGCCTGTGCCCTGGCACACGTTTCTGGTCCTAACTCAGTGTCTCGGGCCTGGCAGATGCCCAGGGTGCTCCATTGCTCAAATCCTGTGGAGAGATGACATTTCCTTCCCAGGTTTCTGGTGAGCTGAAAAACCTTCTTCGTTTCTATAGTGCGATCCTCTTCTATCCACCATGTGTGGGATCAGGACTAGACTCACCCCAAGGGTCTAGGAGTCCTGCCATTGACCTCATTGCCTAGGGTCACAAGCTGGCACCCTTCACTACCACACCGTGGTCTGTCCTCACTGCATCAGTGTGGTTAACTCAATGGGGAGGTCAGTAGCTCAAGGTTAGACAGTTGGATCTGGGTAGACACTAGACTTGGGAACAGGTTGTGGAAGCCACTCCCCTGGTTCCCCTGTCCCCATACTAGAGCCCTCAAGGTCGATCTGGGAGTGTCTGTGCCTTGACCATGCAATGGGTGCCAGGCTGAGGCTAGGGATGCCCTGGGGTTCCTCTCCCTCCTACCCACTCCTCAGCCTCTGCAGGTGCCTGTCATGACCTGTGTATCCTTCATTCTGCCCACTCATCCGTTCACTGGGCCCCTCCTTGGTGCCAGGCATCTGCTACTGAGGGGTGCCAAGTCCCTGCCAGAGAAGCTTGGAGCTGGGTGGGAGCAGCAAGGAGGCTGGAGGCAGCGGGGAGTGGGAGCCGCAGTAAGTAGACAGATGTGCTTAAGCCAGGAGGGAGCTCAGGGTTTAAGAGGAGAGAGAGTCGTCTCGGGGAGGGAGCAGGCTCCTCCGCTCCTTGCCTTGTGCTGTTCATAGCCGGGGTAGGACCCGGAATCAAACCACAGACCCGCAGCCGGCCAGAATTACTTTCCGTGGGCCTACAAACCCACCCCTCCCAGGACTGCGCGGAGTGACTACAAGGAACCATGCCCTCCTCTCCCCCACCCCAGGTCATAAAGGCGGACGCGGAACAGGTGTGGGAAGTTCTCTGCGCGTACGAACTACGGGAAGGATTTCCGGAGGATTTCTGATTGATTCTGGGGCTTCTGACACAACGTTCAGGTGGTGAAACCTCCTTCCTCCTCCTTCTCGTGGAACTTCGGGGACAGAGCGTCCCGACTGCCTCGACGGCTTGAGCAGGGCACGACCCAGGACCCAGGACCCAGGACCCAGGACCCAGGACCCAGGACCTAGGACGGCGTCGGGAACTGGGTCATGGCTCCGGGGCCCAAGACCCTTCTGTTCGTCTTCGTCGTTGTAGTTCTGCTGCCGGTGAGTGCCCGCCGCGATCCCTGGCTGGGGAAGAGCGCGCCCTGAGCGGGCCGCGAGGAGGGAAGGGGAGAGGGGGAAGGGGACGCGGCGGGGACGCCTGGCAGGACGAACCCGTCGTCGGAGTCTGGGAAGAACTGGGTCCCCGGGCTGGGCTGGAGCGACACTGCCGCGACAGAGTCGCGCTCCGCCTGGTTGTCCCGTGCGGCAAGGACCACGCTGAGCTGCCCCGTAGTAAGTTCGAGAATCAACGGAGGGGTGGAGTCAAGATGGAAACGTCTCAGTGAAACCTCAGGAAGCCACAGAGATCCTGACTCTTTCTGTAGTTAACAAAATTAACCATTTTATATCTATATATATGTGTGTGTGTATTTATAAAATTCTCTCTCTCTCTCTATATATATATATGTATATATGCATATATAATACGTATATATACATGTATATATATATATAATTTTTTTTTTGAGAGGGAGTCTGGCTTGGTCACCCAGGTTGGAGTACAATGGCGCAATGTCGGCTCACTGCAATCTCCGCCTCTCGGGTGCAAGCGATTCTCTGCCTCAGCCTCCCAAGTAGCTGGGACTACTGGCACCCACCACCACAGCCAGCTAATTTTTTTATTTTTAGTAGCGACGGGGTTTCACCATGTTGGCCAGCATGGTCTCCAACTCTTGACCTCGTGATCCTCCCGCCTCAGCCTCTCGAAGTGCTGGGATTACAAGCCTGAACCACTGTGCCCAGCCGACGCTATGTTTATATTGTTAAACGTTTTTCTTGGTGATGGGGTTAACAGTCAGTGAAAAGGCTTTCCAATGCTGTCTTTTGCAACTTTCTTTTCCTCTGTCCTGAAAGTGGCAGAAAGCACTTAACCAACTTGCTTGCAATTAGTGTCTTGCTCTGCTACCCTTGTGTCCCCTCTGCTTCCCACAGGGGACCAGGGGCTGGCCCCTTCCTTCAGCATAAAAGGTGTAATGTTTTCATTGTGAGTTGTCTTTGGAAACTGAGATTGGTATTGGTGTACACAATAAGGGCATTTTATAAATGAAATGTGCAGATATCCAGGACTTTTTCGGAGTGATAGAGGTTTTTGCCAACAGCGCTTTCTAAGGGTCCTTATATGATATCAGCAGAAAAAAAAAAAAAAAAAAAGACGTAAGGGCAAAACAAGGTAAAAGAAACGATGAGATTTTGCATGTTTTCTTTCAACAAATTAATGCTAAATTCAGAAAAGCGGTAACATTTTCACCTCTCAAAAACTGCACAACTGACATCTCTTTTTTCTTTCTTTCTTTCTTTCTTTTTTTTTTTTTGAGACAGAGTTTCACTCTTCTTGCCCAGGCTGCGGTGCAATGGTGTGATCTCGGCCCATTGCAACCACTGCCTCCCAGGTTCAAGCGCTACTCCTGCCTCAGCCTCCCACGTAGCTGGGATAGAAGCACACACCACCATGCCTGGCTAATTTTTACATTTTTAGTAGAGACAGGGTTTCACCATGTTGGTCAGGCTGGTCTCAAACTCCCAATCTCAGGTGATCCACCCATCTCAGCCTCCCAAAGTTCTGGGATTACAAGCATGAGCCAACATGCCCAGCCAACAACTGACTTCTAAAATAGTTTGCAGTGGGTGGACCTTCCTTGAAGGCGGCTTGAGGAATGGCTGTGTCAGGAAGGACAGTGGTCCTGAAGAGAGAATGTGTGGGTGACCTGTCCCTGCCACCTGCCATGCCTGTGAATGGAGATAAGGTCTATGGCCTGAGGCTGTCAGGATAACATCAGATGAACCTGGAGCTGAGCTCAGTTCCTGACCCAGGTCCTGGCTCTGTCAATGCTGGTTTAGCCCAGTTTCTGGGTCAGGTCCTTCCACCCTGCCTCTCTTTCTAAGTAGGAATTGGGAAGTTCTGATGGCTCAGAATCCCAGACTCTCAGGCTGTCAGTGCCTCCTGGAATTGGAGGCTGGGAACAGCTGGACCCTGCCGTGCTTCCCTCCAGGTCTGTGAGTCTGGTGTGGCCCCAGCTCCTGCCTGTAAAATGAAGAGGAGATAAAAATCTTCAGCAGCCCTGTGTAAACCTCAGGGGGCTGTGTTTGCAGGTGTCGGAGGACAAATCGTATCCTCAGGGCTGGTGTCAGTCACTCTGGACTGGATCCTCAGGGCATGTGTCCTCCACCCAGCAGAGGCTACACCTGCTCCTACCTGCACCTCGGTATGGGCTCCCTGAGCTTGGGCAGAAGCTTCTGAAGACTGGGGTGGAACGCCATGGGGAGGGGCCATGGAGGAACAGTGGAGCCAGACTTCAAGTGAGGACAGTGATGGCACTGCAGGGCCACAGCCTGGTTTACCTGCCTCGCTTCCAGTTGTCCTTCCAGTAGGCACCCGACCCTGGCTGCAGTTTGAGGAATGAGCAGGAAGGGTCTCCATCTACATGGCTGCAGATGGCTGCTCACCCAGCCTCTATGGAGGGGCCACATTCCTAGTCCTAGTCCTCTGTCCTGTATCCAGGAGTGGCAGGGCAGCGAGGCTCTAGCTTCCAGGTTGGAGATGGGGACAGTGGGGACAGTGCCCTGCATCAAGCCTGTGCTGTTGGACAGCTGGTGTCCTGCTCCCAGTCAGAGACTGTACATCTTCATGTGGTGGATTTTCCCAATAACCCAGGGAGAGGAGGGCAGGTTGTTTTCTCTGTTTTACAAGTGGCAAAAATGAGGTTCAGGAGCAATGTCTCCAGCATTTTTGGCCTCACCTTCTGTATAATAGCAGCCATATGTGTGCTTCTGCAGGGCTAGCGTTCTCTGAGCAGCTGCTTCTCAGCGCAGATCTCTGCCCTGCACTTGGCCCTCTGGGAGTTACTATGGTTCCTCAGCAGAGTCCACAGGGCCCTTTAGGGTCCCCTCCCTGTCCTGCAGCCTGGGGCCTGTCCTTAGGCAGTGACTGAGACCATGACTGCACTCACCTCATGGGCTTGAGGGGAAAGGCTTCACACAGGAAGTGGACAGTGAGCCCTTTACTCTGAGAACACCTGTGCCTGGAGTCTTTTGGAGCCAGAGAGGACAAACGAGCCCCATGTGAATCCTGCTCCCTGGAGCCCACAGTGTGGTGGGAGAGGTGACAGCAGGGATCATATCACTAATAGGAGGTAGCATGCGGGAGGCCTGAGGTCTCACCACCCTTGCCTCCCGTCCTCCAGAGAGGCCGTGTTGGAGGGAGGCCACAGGATGTGCTGTTGTTGGCCTGGAAGATGTTGTGTGGGTACAGTTCCCATTGAGAGTGATGGAGGGAAGCTAAGCTTCTCTTTAAAGTTGGGATTTGTGTTTTGTTTTCTTTTTTTGCTGAATCTGAGAATTAAATTGACATAAGACAGGTGCATGGGAGAAAAGCGCAGACACACACACAGATACACACATACACACACACACACACACACACACACATATTATTTCTGAGATGGAGTCTTGCTCTGTCACCAGGCTGGACTGCAGTGATGCAATCTTGGGTGACAGAGGGAGATTCCATCTTTAAAAAAAAAAAACAACTTTTTTAAACAGGTAAAAACAATGGCAAGCTGGGACATGCCTGTGAGCGCATCCAACACAGATATGTTGGTTAAAGTACAAAGACAAAGAATATACTACGTGCCGATAAGCATACATAGAATGTGCTACGTGCCAAAAAGCATGTCTAATAGCTACATAGGATGAGGCTTAACAAAGAGTTATTAGGACATTTATTCTTTAACAAGAAAGGAAACTTCGAAGAGGAACTTTTACTTTCCACACTCATTTAACCAAAGTGATTATCAAAAGACCTTAAAGGCAATACAGAGGGTTATGTGGATGT